ACCTCAGACACACTGCTGAGACACAGCCTCTCACCTCAGACACACTGCTGAGACACAGCCTCTCACCTCAGGCACACTGCTGAGACACAGCCTCTGACCTCAGACACACTGCTCAGCCACAGCCTCTCACCTCAGACACACTGCTCAGCCACAGCCTGTGACCTCACACACACTGCTGAGATACAGCCTCTGACCTCAGGGTATACACAATGAGCTACAGCACACTGTTCTTCAGTAAAACATGCAATATACATGTATGCACACATGCTTATGCATAAACACGTGCATGCCACTTAATCTTACTTACACACAATGCATATGCTGGAAGGAGACAGGCCTCATGTCTGGATATGTGGGCAAGAGCCTTCCTAGTAACTGTTCTGTGACCCCCTCCTGACCCCGTCGCCAAGATGCTCCTCAGTCACTGTTGATGGGGGAAGTCTCTCCTATGATCTATCCCAGCCCTGTCCTCAAACCTCAGGCAAGTAACAATGCTGGACACCACACTGGCTTCAGGGCCCCTCTACGCGGCCTGTTCTTCCTATACTGGGCATCTCTTCCACGTGAGCTGGAGGCCTGGGTGTACCCCGTGGGCACTGTCGTGGCTTTTCCTCCTTATGGAGTCCAGCCCAGAGTTGTGGGAAGGCACTGCCATGGTCAACAGAGCCCAGGGCCATGGATCTCTGGGCCCAAAGCCCCAGGCGGCTTTGTGTTTTTGGTGGAGCTGCACGGTCAGTGTTCAAGTTCCCACATCCTCCAGGCCCAGAAGGGAGGACACAGAGGGAGAAGACGTGCTGAGCACACAGCCAGCAGATGTGCTTAGGGGTCAGCGGGGCATCTCCAAGGACCGTTGGTGAATAGACAAAAAGAAAGCAGGAAAGTGGCCTCGGGGCAGCCACGGCTCCACTCCAAGGTGGCTAGGGTAGACTCACCTGTCGAGTACATAGCCAAGGGCCTTGTGCCGGACACCCGAGTACACAGAGGGACTTGTCTCCCAGGCCACCAGGTTGGATGCATCATGGAAAAGATGGATGTTCACCAAGTCAAAGGCACTGTAACCAAGAGAGAACGGGGTCAGGTGACTGGGAGACGGGACCCCCACACAGCCCTCAGCGGGCGGCCGAAGCAATGTGCACCTGCCCACTCTGTCCTTGGCCGCTCCAGGCTGACCCAAAGCAGCCCCTTCCCAAAGTCAAGGAAAAGGAAAGATGTCTTTCAGTTCCATAGAGCTCAATTCACATGCATACACTGCAGGACTTTCCGAAGGCTTAGATTAGAACATGAGAATACACCTTTCCTGGCCGAACCTCCCAGGAGCCCTTGCTACTTCTCAGTGCACCACAGCTGGAGCTCCAAAACGGCATGGAGAGGCGCAGGTGGGCCATGTTTACTCTGAGCACATGCCTGAGAAGAGCCTCAGCAGATGGGCATAAGGCTGGAATCTGGTGTGTGTCAGCCTTTTCCACACCCTTCAGAGACCCTCTGCGGTTGTCATAGGTACACCACTTTCAATAAAGCCTACCACTGCCCCCAAGAGGCTCACAGCCCCCTCTCCAGGACAATGTACTCAACACTGCCCCTTCTCACAGTGACGCGAAGGAGAGTCTTGCCGGACTGCATCCCCCTCCTCCCTGTGGTCACCAGCAGCCAACAATCCACACCCTGGGTGTCCTGGGCATGTCCTGAGACCAAGAGCACAGGCAGAAGAGGCCGCCACCCTCTGCATTAGCCACCCAGGACTGTAGCTTCATCCTGACATCTCTTTGTCTCCCTCTCCCTCCTCTGTTCTCTGGGCTGTGTCCTGAGCAGCCCCTAGAGGCCAGAGTCTCAGCAGAGCCACAGAGAAACTAGAGTCTCTGTGGTCTGTTGTAGAGCAATCAACCCTTGGGCCGTGAAGCTTCAGAGAAGTCCCTGGGAGGAAAATAGAAAGAAGTGTATGGGGACCCCACTCCTGGGGGAGGGGAGGGTTGTGCAGGCCACCAGGCGGTAGAAGGCCCAGCAGGAAGCCAGGGGTGTGACTACTGTATGCATCTGCAGACTCTAACTTGCATTGGACCCAGATGCCTCCCTGGCAACTTGCTTGTCCATGCGCTCTGGCACATGGAGCCTATGCCTGAGGAGGGCCCAGAGCGTCCCTTGTCTATGGCCATTTGTGCCGGTGCAGGACCGCCTGCCTACATATAGGAGATGGGTCACCACACTCCACATCATACCAGGTCACCTCCAAACCCAAACCAGTCAGGTGGCTGGGGTCCCCATCCAAAATGAGCACGGCCTTCAGTGGCACATTCAAAACCCACAGGCAAGACCCAGCAGAGGGTCAGAGGTTGCTCTGGAAGCCATAAAGCAGAGACAGTGTGATGTCGTGTAACATACCAGTCAGCAATACACCACCGCGTCCGGATGAAGCCTTTTCTTGACCACTTGCACTGAAAAATCAAAATCATACAGTGAGCAGCAAGAAGTGAACTGGGAAGACCACACGGCCCTCTGTGCTGGACCGGATGGGGAGCTTTCCACGCCACAGTCCCACCCGCCTTCCAGCACCAGGCACTCATGGGGGACCAGGACCCCAGAGAAGCCACCCTGCTGGCCATGAGTTGGCCTGACCAAGAGAGTGACAGATGTCTGATGTGGAAGGCCCCACAGTGCCACGGTGTGTGTACACGGGAGACCCCAGCAGGCCACGGTGTGTGGACACAGGAGGTGCCAGCAGGCACGGTGTGTGAACATGGGAGACCCCAGCAGGCCACAGTGTGTGGACACAGGAGGTGCCAGCAGGCACGGTGTATGGACACAGGAGACCCCAGCTAGCCACGGTGTGTGGACACGGGAGACCCCAGCAGGCACGGTGTGTGAACATGGGAGACCCCAGCTGGCCACAGTATATGGACACGGGAGACCCCAGCTGGCCACGGTGTATGGACACGGGAGACCCCAGCAGGCCACAGTGTGTGGACATGGGAGACCCCAGCTGGCCACGGTGTATGGACACGGGAGACCCCAGCTGGCCACGGTGTATGGACACGGGAGACCCCAGCTGGCCACGGTGTATGGACACGGGAGACCCCAGCAGGCCACAGTATGTGGACACGGGAGCTCCACTGCAGTGCCACAGTATGTGGACACGGGAGCCCCACTGCAGTGCCACGGTATGTGGACACGGGAGCCCCACTGCAGTGCCACGGTATGTGGACATGGGAGCCCCACTGCAGTGCCACGGTATGTGGACACAGGAGGTGCCAGCCAGCAGGCACGGTGTGTGGACACGGAGACCCCAGCTGGCCACAGTGTGTGGACACAGGAGACCCCAGCTGGCCACAGTGTATGGACACGGGAGACCCCAGCTGGCCACAGTGTGTGGACACGGGAGACCCCAGCAGGCCACAGTATGTGGACACAGGAGGTGCCAGCCAGCTGGCCACAGTGTATGGACACGGGAGACCCCAGCTGGCCACAGTGTATGGACACGGGAGACCCCAGCTGGCCACAGTGTATGGACACGGGAGAGCCCAGCTGGCCACGGTGTATGGACACGGGAGCCCCACTGCAGTGCCACGGTATGTGGGCACGGGAGCCCCACTGCAGTGCCGCGGTATGTGGGCACGGGAGGCCACGGTATGTGGATCCTGCCTCACAATGGGGCGTGTGCTGTGGTCTGATGCCGAATCCCTATACTGAAATTCAACCACCACTGTCATGTACGGAGGCTTGGGGCCTCTGAGGAGTGGCTGAGACCTGAGGTCCCTTCTCCTGAGGAGGGGTGATGACTGCTGTGTAAGGCTGTGTCTGGTCCTTTCTGATTCCTGTCTCCACTGGGGACACAGTGTTCCCCTGGAAGACACAGAAACAAGGTGTGATCGTGGGAGAAGGTGGTGGCCTCACTGGACACTCAATCTGTAGGCACCAGATCTTGGACTCCCAGACTCTAGAACTATGGAAAATAAATTGCTTTGTAAATCACCCCCCCTAGGTGTTCTTGTAAGCCAGCTGCTAACAAGGAAGAGGTCAGGATGAAAACCCTTCTACAACGCTCTACCTGCCTGAAGACTCTCTGCCCTAGTCGAGGACTGGCACTCATTTCCCACATTATCCTCTGCTAGTTTGAAAAAAGATGGATCACAGCAACGGCTCAGGATGGGAAAGAGTGGGGCATGAGGCCACGTCCAGACAGCCTCATCCACAGCTACAGGCGATCCTGCCCACAGGGCCACGCTGCCTTTCCCACCATCACTACTAGCTACCACGCCTGTACACAGAGAAGCCAGCACAGCTGACTGTCGAGCAGGATCTGTGGCATAACGGAAGGTTCTGGGCCAGCCTGCCCGCATCCGAAGATATGAATGAAAATCTGAGCTTCAACTCTTCCTTTCTTGGAGGAAACTTTCACTTAAAAGCTGTGCAGAGGAGGGCCACCTGGGGTGAGGGGAGAGCTCCACAGGCTGAGGCCCAGCCGGCCTGCCTGCCACACCCAGGCAGCATGTCTGCTGTGAGGGAGCAGCGGGGGGGCCCTGGCTCAGCCACCTTCTGAGGGGTTTCCTGCAGGAGCAGTGGACCTGCTTCATTAGCATCGCACCCCAATTTCTGACCCCAAATCGAACGCATCCATGCTCTGCCTAGAACTCAGTATACAGCTGTTAATAGCTTTAGACCAAAAATGAATTGCTCTTCCCCTCAGTTTTCACATTTATGTAAATTGGGTAGATGGGTATGTATCTTGAATGCATGCACACACGTGTATCTTTAGACATTAACTTTCCATAATAAAGGGGCATTATTTCAATATTAATTATTATAGACTGAATACTAAAACGGGAGAGATCATGTGTTATATATATATATATGTATGTAATTATATATAATTATAGTTTTAGAATTCTAACTAGATTTGAGACTTCTCATTAAGGTGCAGATGAATCTCAGGAAATCCAAGTTAACATTGTCATAACCCAGTACATTAAGAAATACTGTAGAAAACGTTCCCTGGAGCCACGTGGGAGCCACGCTCACCCTGCCACCGTGAATGTCTGGGCTACATTTCCAGACGACTCGCGGTTGTGGGAAGCAAACATATGCCTCTGCCATCTGACTGCCTCATGGCTGGCGAAGCTGGCGCCTGCCAAGACCTGGCCAGGGTGCGGGACCAGGCCTCCCACTCAGTCCAAGGACAGGGCTGCCCGTGCGGCCCTTATGCCCTTTGGGGACCTGCCCTCACCATGCCCTCAGCACTGGCCTGCCCAAGACCACTAGCTCCATGAGAAAGGAGCAGAGCTGGAATGCACTTTCCAACTCTTAGGCCAAGCCTCCTCCTGTGACCACTTTCCATTGCCTGAGCACTCAGGGCAGATACTGGTGGTGGCAGGGTACCTTCCTGATGGGAAGCTCTTCCGTGTGGACCCTCAACACCCCCACTGGCAAAGCACCTGTGCACACCCGTGCAGATACCCAATACACTCTGGTGCCAAGTTACCCATGCACACAGGCATCGCTCTGACAAAATGCGTGACATGCCATGCGGGTGCCCAACACACACTGATGCTGTGGTACCCATGCACACGAGCACCGCTAACCAAACACATGTACACACCATGGGGGTACCCGACACATACTGATGCCGAGGTACCCCCGCCACGGGCACCACTCTGATGAAATGTGTGTGCGCCCACGCCAGTGCCAACACACAGAGACCCTGTGTGTGCAGGCACCGAGGGCTCATGCAGCACCGGGGAGGCCGGGCGAGTGGGGCAGAGGACGCTGAAGGCTGAGTTCAGCCCCTCAGGAAGCCCAGGGGTCCCCAGCTGTAGGTATCAACATTGGGCTCAGGAAACCGAAGCAGGGTGAGTGTGGGTGGGGTTAGGGCTCCTCAATGTCTGATGGATCTCTTCCAATCAGCCATGTTGTAGAACTTTCTAGTCACTAATCACCTTCCAACTCCTCAGAGCAGTCAGAAGAGTGCCGCACTTGTGGGGCGGCTCTGTGAGGGTCACACCACAGAAATGAAAAGCACACAGCTTGGCCAGGAGGGCACACCGCTCTCACCCCCTGTGGTCTCTGCTCGGTCCCCATTAATGAGGTTCCTTGAGCCGGCAGATGGATTGCAAACACAGGCAGCTTCATCTACTAAAAGACAGCATAAATCGCGGTGGAGAAAAGAGGGGCTGCGGAGGGCACAGCCAGGCGGCCGTGCTGCGGAAGGCCTGCTCCGAGCATTAGTGGAATTAATTCATCTTTCATGACGCTAGCAGCAGGCCCTGTGATCTATGGTAACAACCAATTTCTCACCACGGGCAAGGGGAAAAAAATGACTCACCCCGATCGACTACACAAATCTGCTTTTTAAAAATGGCCTCGCATTATCTGGAGTGCTGCTCCCTGAGGCGCCATCTGAAATTCATACTGAGCCAAAAGCACCCATAAATCAGGGGAGAAAGTTTTGTTAGTTTTAGATGCACAGGCCAGTAATTATTTGGAATTGCATTATGCCTCCATCACGGTAATTACATTTAGATTATCCTTAAGTGATGGTAATAAAAGAAAGAGAGATCAGTCTTCCACTAATTCCCTCCCCCAAAATGCACGCCAATGCAGTGGAGGTTGCAGGGAGACTCAGGAGGCGGTGGGAGGCTGGGGAGGCTGCAGGAGGCAGAGGAGGTGGTGGGAAGCTCAGGAGCCTGAGGAGGCTGGGGAGGCTGAGGAGGCTCAGGGGGCTGGGGAGGCAGTGGGAGGCTCAGGAGGCTGGGGAGGCTCAGGGGGCTGGGAGGCAGTGGGAGGCTCAGGAGGCTGAGGAGGCTGGGGAGGCTGAGGAGGCTCAGGAGGCTGGGAGGCAGTGGGAGGCTCAGGAGGCTGGGAGGCAGTGGGAGGCTCAGGAGGCTGGGGAGGCAGTGGGAGGCTCAGGAGGCTGGGGAGGCTGAGGAGGCTCAGGGGGCTGTAGAAGCCAGTGGGAGGCTGAGGAGGCTCAGGAGGCTGTGGGAGGCAGTGGGAGGCTCAGGAGGCTGTGGGAGGCAGTGGAAGGCTGAGGAGGCTCAGGGTGCTGGGGAGGCTGAAGAGGCTCAGGGTGCTGGGGAGGCTGAAGAGGCTCAGGGTGCTGGGGAGGCTGAAGAGGCTCAGGGTGCTGGGGAGGCTGAGGAGGCTCAGGGGGCTGGGGAGGCTGAGGAGGCTCAGGGGGCTGGGGAGGCTGAGGAGGCTCAGGGGGCTGGGGAGGCTGAGGAGGCTCAGGGTGCTGGGGAGGCTGAAGAGGCTCAGGGTGCTGGGGAGGCTGAGGAGGCTCAGGGGGCTGGGAGGCTGGGGAGGCAGTGGGAGGCTCAGGAGGCTGAGAAGGCTCAGGGGGCTGGGGAGGCAGTGGGAGGCTGAGGAGGCTGGGGAGGCTGAGGAGGCTGAGGAGGCTGGGGAGGCTGGGGAAGCAGTGGGAGGCTCAGGAGGCTCAGGGGGCTATGGGAGGTGGTGGGAGGCTCAGGAGGCGGTAGGAGGCTGAGGAGGCTCAGGGGGCTGGGGAGGCTGAGGAGGCTCAGGGGGCTGAGGAGGCTGGGGAGGCTGAGGAGGCTGAGGAGGCTCAGGGGGCTGAGGAGGCTCAGGGGGCTGAGGAGGCTCAGGGGGCTGGGGAGGCTCAGGGGGCTGAGGAGGCTCAGGGGGCTGAGGAGGCTCAGGGGGCTGAGGAGGCTCAGGGGGCTGGGGAGGCGTGGGGAGCTGAGAAGGTGGTGGGAGGTTTGTGAACCCAGTCAGTGGCCCTCCCAGGCTGTGGAGGCTCCACTGACCTGCACAGGGCAGGACCGGGTGCCAAGTCTCCTGTGACACACTTTGGGAGGTCTGGCGCTTTAAGAAAGTTAGATGTTTCCTGCTGTTTTCACCAGATGAAAGGAAACCCATGACCCACCTGCCCAGCATGAGCCAGAGCATGAAAACAAAGTACGTACACTGGCAAGGCCAGGCCCGGAGCCGTGGGGTCAGCTGACTGGCTGGCCAGAAGGCTGTGGACAGCACCACACTGCTCAGGGTTGAGATAGGTGTCCACAGACACCCAGGGCAGAAGCCCAGAGCCTTCCCTTCCTGTGAGTTCAGCATCTCCTCTGTCTACAGACATGACAACATGGCCCTGGAGCCAGGTCCAAGGAGTACGAAGGGCCTGGATCTGAGCTGGGCTGCCTTTCCTGTGGAAGCCGACGGGCCTCCAGCTCTGCCCCAAACCACTGCCGCACAGCCAGGCCCTAGACCTCACTGGCTCTACGGTGCCATAACAAGTGGGAAGTCCTGTGGCTGGGGGAGCCCCAAGGAGTAAGGAGACCCTCAGAGGAGCTACAGCCTTGAGGACTGTGGGGGCCGAAAGGCACCAGGAACCCACAGGCGTCTGTGGGCCGGCTGTGAGGTTCTAAAGGACGCCTACCCCAGCGGGCCACCCCGCGTGGCACCTGCTGTCCCTCTTCCTACTCAGGACACAGGGACACTGTGCTAAGACACTGGCAGAGAGGCAGAGCCGTGGGTGTGGCCAGTGCCCTTCCCCAAAGCCTCCAGGGCCTAAGGCAAAGGTGAAGCCCTGCTGTGAAGTGGGGACATGGAGCACCAGGAAGGCCATAGGACTGCTGTGGATGGAGGCCACAGAGGAGCTGCTGAGGATGGAGGCCACGGAGGGGCCTGTGGATAGAGGCCATGGAGGGGCGGTTGTGGATGGAGGCCACGGAGGGGCCTGTGGATAGAGGCCATGGAGGGGCGGTTGTGGATGGAGGCCATGGAGGGGCTGCTGTGGATGGAGGCCATGGAGGGGCTGCTGTGGATGGAGGCCACGGGGCTACTGTGGATGGAGGCCATGGAGGGGCTGCTGTGGATGGAGGCCATGGAGGGGCTGCTGTGGATGGAGGCCATGGAGGGGCTGTTGTGGATGGAGGCCATGGAGGCTCCTGTGGATGGAGGCCACGGAGGGGCTGCTGTGGATGGAGGCCACCTACTAAGTCCAGGAAGTGAAAAACAACCACAGAGACAGTGTATGGAGCAGTTTATGAACTGAGTAACGCATCAGTACTGACGCTTAGACTCACAACTGTGCGCTTGCTAGACAGGTGTTCTACCACTTACGCCACATGCCCTGCCCTTTTTGCTTCAGTTATTTTTCAGACAGGGTCTCCTGCTTTTATGCCCTGGCAGCCCCCTGATGATCCTCCTAACTGCCTCCCCACTGGGGGAGTGGTATACCACCACAAGTGGCTGGGGGTCTTGCTAACTTTTTGCACAGGCTGGCCTCAAACCACAATCATCTTAATGTCCATCTCCCCAGTGACTGGGATTACAGCATGAACCATCATTCCCAGCCTACTCATGGGAACTGTAAGCACATGATTACAGGCCCATCCAGGCACTGCACAGATACATACAAGGTTCTCAAGTAGATGGCAGCTGCTGTCCTCAGGAGAAGACTCCACTGAGGAAGGTGACAGGAAGGACAGGAGCGTGGCTGTGGTGACTCAGGAGAAGACCCCACTGAGGAGTACAGGTTGTGTGCCCAGCTGTGGTTGTTCTCAACCCTGATGGGGCCACGGTATCTATTTTTGATTCATCACACTCTTCTCAGCATTGGAAATAGGCTGAAGATATTTGAAGGAAAATCCTGTGCTCAGTACTACTGGCACACCCTGTAATCCTAGCTACTCAGGAGGCTGAGATCTGAGGACTGATGTTTGAAGCCAATCTGAGGAGAAAAGTCCAAGTAACTAGTAAAAAGCCAGACCGGAGATATGGCTCAAGTGGCATCATGCCAGACTGAGAGAAAAAGCCAAGCTAGAATGTGAGTCCCTAAGTTCAAGCCCCAGTACTGGCACACACACACAATAAAGGAGAAAGTTGCAAAGAAGGATACTAGACTTGCTTGGGAATCAAACACTATCGTACCCTGGAAACATCACACATACCACTGCTTATGACCATGTCCAGCACTGCCTCCTTCGGTCCACCCCTGTGGACTGGGGACCTGTCCTGCAAGGAGTATCTCAACACTATAAAGAGGGCAGTTGCTAGCCAGCCCTGGCTCCTTGGTCACGCTTGGCGCCTCTCCGAGCACCGTCATTCCCACTTAGGCTAAGCCTGCTGTGGTTACTCTGAGACAGGAGCTGGGGGCCAGCCCTGAAGAGGCCTCCCCAAGAGCTAGGGCCAGTCTGCAGTGGACAGGTCACAAACAGGCTCTGAATCCAGCTTCTTGGCCCATAGATTCTTAAGGACTTTGCTGCCCCCAGGGTCCTTCCATAGAGCCTGCCACATAGGGTTTTCATGACACATGGGGTTTGTGGCTGTACAAAAGCTCTGGAACTTTCCAACCTGGCAGAAGAGGAGACCACAGTGTAGGCCTGAGTTGGCTGGGGACAGAAGGCCAGCCTGCTGACACCACGTCCTTGGCCTGGGGAGGATAGATGAGGAAGCCGGGCCACAGGTGACGAGTGCACCCATCCTTCATGCAGACAGCCATAAGCTCTTACTCAAAGTGCGGGTTATAAAGCACGTTAATAACCTGGTGGCCTTGCTGAGAATCAGCTCTGAACAAGCCCCGCACTGGGCTATGCAGGCCCCGTGTGGAGAGGGAGCCAAAAGCAATCCTTCTTGAGGGATAGCATGCCAATGAGCCTAGATGCAGTCCCTACATGATGGTGCGGGCAGAGCATGCACGAACAGGAGATGTTGCTCAGTTCCTCCCCTTCAGTGCTGGAAATGCTTCTGTGATTTTTAGCTGATGGGTGTGAGCACCAGCAAGATCACACAGGCTCAAGAGGATCCCAGGTGGGTGGCTATGAAGGCATCTGAATTCAATCGCACACAAGAGCCATGTGGAGACAGCAGTCCTCCACACCAAACGAAAAGAATGCACACAGTGCTGCATAGGCGGCTGCTGCCCTCTCCAGCTCCAGGAGAGCGGGAAGACATCGGCCAGTGACCTCTGGGAAGCCTCCCTTGGATGGAAGAAGGAATCTGAGGATTGGCTACCTGACATAAGGTTTGTAAGGCTGCCCAGATCAGCCCACGGGAAGACGAGGTTTGGAACTTCTGGGGGAGAGGCTTTGGAGCACAGCCGCCCCAGGAACAGTGCTCCACAGCCCTATGCACTTTGGGTATCAAACAGTGGGTCACAGCCCCCCTGAACTCCGCACCTCGGGGAAGTAGTCCTGTGGGAACTTCTCCTTCTCAAGCATCGGCGTGCTCTCCAGGGTATCTGAGTAGATCTCCTTGCCAGTGACTTTCTTATACTTCTTGGCTGGAAGAGACCAGAAGGATGACATGAATAACCTCATCACTACGCCCCATCCAATCAGCTACTCACTACTGGGAGCATGCCCCCACAGGGCAGCCTGAGGAGGCAAGGGAGGCCCCGGTCAGGACAGTGGACAGGGGGCCGGCTCTGAGGCCCCGGTCAGGACAGTGGACAGGGGGCCGGCTCTGAGGCCCCGGTCAGGACAGTGGACAGGGGGCCGGCTCTGAGGCCC